CTAGACTTGTAATCAGTGCTGAAACTTTTCTAACACTTAATTAACTAAGAAAAGTGGTACACAAAATTATGTTTCCAATTCATTTAATAGCACAGACTCTAAAGGCATTTCTAACTAGCTACATTTTCTTTGGATTTACTCAACTTTTCAAAGTTAGATAAAGAATTGAAAATAATGTTAAATGGTTATGACTTTGGTGAATTCTTTTAAATAAGGGATTTCCATCTCTTAACAAAGGGATATTTGTAATAGAAAGTGGTTGCTAAGGAACGTCAATAAAAATTGTTATATAACAATCAAACTTGGCTATTGTTTGCAAATAGAGTAAAATTATATTAGGAGAAGAGAGTTGGAAGTAACTTTTCTGAGTGGGAAAGATTTTCCTTGTAATTGTGATGAATTTATCAGAGCATTTATATGCTTTCTAGAAATAGTGGGTTCTGGAAGAAACTCAGAAATTGTATGAAAGGAGGTAAAGAGGAAGATGCAGATCATTATTACCCTACCCTAACCAAAAAAACCCTGGGAAACTGAGAAGGCACTCCTGCATCAACTGGAAAAAAAATCAGGCAGACTTTTTCCTACCAAGGTATTCCCAAGTGAATGACTGAAGGTGAGCCAGCATCCATGCAGACTCCTACTGGAATACTGGCCGGCCCTCACAAGCACTGGAATTTCCTATTTTTTTCAAATGCTGATAATAAGCACTCTATCCATTTTCTTTGGTGCCTATTCGAAACTTTCACCACTCTCCTCAGCCTGTCCTCTCTGCCCTCTTCTGAACATGGTTCTGCTTTAATGATAAAAGAAGTCATGCAGGTTAATATCTAAAATACAAAAAGAACTCATATAACTCAATAGCCAAAAACAAAACAAAATACATAATTAAAAAACAGGCGGAGGAACCGAACAGACATTTTTCCAAAGAAGACACAAAAAGGTGCTCGACATCATTAATCATCAGGGAAATGCAAATCAAAACCACAATGAGAGACACTCCACACCTGTTAGAAGAGCTGTCATCAAACACATAGTAGATAACAAGTGCTGGCGAGGATGTGGAGAAAAGGGAACCCATGTGCACTGTTGGTAGGAATGTAAATTGGTGCAGCCATTATGGAAAACAGTATGAGGGTTCCTCCAAAAATTAAAAATAGAACCACCTTATAATCCAGCAATTCCACTCCTGGGTACATATTGGAAAGAAACAAAATCACTGTCTCAAAGAGATACCTGCACCACCATGTTCATTGCAGCATTATTTATAATAGTTAAGATATGGAAACAACCTAAGTGTGCATCGACAAATGCATGAATAAAGAAACTATGATGTGTATATATATATATATATATATATATATATATATACACATATATGTGTGTGTGTGTGTATATATATATTATTCAGCCATAAAAAAAGAAGGAAATTCTGCTGTTTGCACCAACATGGATGTGTCGTGAGGGCATTATGCTAAGTGAAATAAGTCAGACAAAGAAAGACAGATACTATGATCTCACTTACAGAATTGAAAAAACACAAACTCAGGGCTTCCCTGGTGGCACAGTGGTTGGGAGTCCGCCTGCCGATGCAGGGGACACGGGTTCGTGCTCCGGTCCGGGAAGATCCCACGTGCCGCGGAGCGGCTGGGACAGTGAGCCATGGCCGCTGAGCCTGCGCATCCAGAGCCTGTGCTCCGCAACGGGAGAGGCCGCAACAGTGAGAGGCCC